AGTTTTCTTGGGAGGGCATTTTGGGCATTTCACATTGTGTTTTTTTTTAATTTTCCTCTGGAGTCATGTAGAAAACTAGATTTTGAGGGGGGTCTCTTCTTTGTGTTTTTCCAGAAAATGTCATTTTGGCCCTCAAATTTTCATTTTTCCCGGAAAAACCCCTGCTGCCAGGTTTTTGGGTCGCACCCTTACTGCCCCTTCATATCTAAACGTTTAGATGGGGTCTCGTAACCGGTTACATGTGCATGGGCAGTGTTTTGGTCGTGAATTTTGGCCTCCTAACCAGTTATGAAGGTCTCCTAACCGGTTAGATGTTCTTGGTTGTCACCTTTTTGACCGTTTTGCCCTTTCGTCTTCCGTTAGCCATATCTTCTTCATCCGGACTCTGAATCAAGTGATTCTTGAGTTTAAATTCATTAATTTTTCGTTGTCTTTCCAATGGTGTGCTCGGTGGCACCCATTTTTAAGCTAAAAATGACAATTTTTCCCCTAGGTTCATTCTTGTTCGTTTTTAAAATGTTGCTTCCCCATTTGATTCCTTTGGGTTCCGTGACCTCGTTGAGGGTCACATTGGCACTTAGAGTCATGTTGTATCTCTAGAGACCGTTGTTTGTCTTTTGCTTTCGCATTTCAGATCCGTTATCGAGTCATCTTTCGGTTCATCACTGACGCACCGGGTTGAAAAACTTAGGCCATCACATTTATCAAGACAAAGCCTAGCACACACAATAAACGAAGTTAAAATTTTCAAATTAAACGCAACACTGGATAATTCGGTAACAATGTGTCTACTTTGGGTGGACAACTTAAATGCCTAATTAGAGCATGAAATCCAATAAAGAGAGAGAGATCGAACTAGTAGAAAGTGATGAAACTCTTAGATTCTGACAATATTAACATCAATGCCTAATTAGAGCATGAAATTCGATAAAAACAAATTATGATGAAGAGTGAAAAACCTAGGGTTCATAATCTGATTTAGAAGAAATAGTGATGAGAGACGACCGATAATCAAATACCACAACCGATGATCGTTTGACTGTGTTCGCAGAATAATTTTGTGAGATCAAATGTAAATTAAGCTCTCCATTGAAGAACGAGGAGCGACGAGAGAGAACCTGAGTTGAGCTAGAGAGAAAGAAATGATTGGGGGTAGAGAAAGAAAGCGGGAGCGACGAGAGAGAGCCTGGGTCGAACTAGAGAGAGAGGATTGGGGGTAGAAAGAGAAAGTGATGAGCGATTGGAAAATGAAAAAAGAAAAAAGAATAATGAATAATAAAAATAAAAATAAAAATAAAAATAAAAAATGGGCCTACAACAATAATGTGGTAATGATCCTGATTTTTCCTATTTTTTATTTTCTAGGTTTTTTTTTATTTTTTCAAATTATTTTCATTCCGTCTCGTTTTGCATGCTGGACACCGTAGAGTGTGTTGGGTGTGTTTGAGAGTCGGTTGGAGCATTTGTTTGAGTTCAGGACTCTTAGAAATGCATTGGTTGTAATTTCGGCATTTTTCTGTTTTTCGGACCGAGAGGTGCTACCGGAGTTGTCGTGTACGAGGATTGTGTTTCGGGTCTATTGCATTTCATATATTATTATTTTATATTTAATTACATGGTTGTATATTTGAAATGGTAGTTGTTAAGTGTTTAATGTGTGTGTGTGTATATATATATATTTATGTTAATGGTAAAAGATATTTTTATAAAGGCCATGGGACCCACTAAATTCTTTTAACTTCATATAATGACCACATGATCATTAGATGATCATCTAATTGTCTCTTCCTAGCGCAATACAATCCCTCCTTCTCATTTTCTTATTTTCTTTTTCATTTCTCCACACTTTAAGCTTATCTACACCGTATCCTTGTGAATTTGACTTTGCCACTGAAGGCAAAGTTGACAAGTGCGTCGAAGCCTACATTTTGATCAAAGCAAAGTTAAGTTTGGCTTCCCTCTGGATTTCGAATTTTAGGGCCTGTTTTGGGGGTTTCTCTTGCTTTGCTCTTCTAAGTGAGGTAGGGGTGTTCTAATCTACACATTCTTTGATTTTTGTGATTCAGTTCTATATTTTGATGTATAACATGTTTATTTGTGGTTAATTCTTGAAATTTATTATAATGTTATCAATGTTTTGTAAATCTATGTGAATTCCTATGTTTAAGTGATGTGTGTATATGATTTGTTGATATGATGTGAGAAGCATACTTGAATGATTTTATTTTGTACCCTATATGTTAATGTGTTGGACATTGTCATATGGAAGCATGGTATATCTTCCTTGTAGAAATTTTTTTTACAAAAGCATGCTATATACATTGTTGTGGTTGGTTGCAAATTATGGAAAATTGTATATATATATATATATATATATTGTCACGGTTTAGTATAGCATGAAGCATTCATGTATTTCATTGGGAAAGAAAAAAGGGAAAAATGTTTTGAAAAGCAATGAAAACCGTTTTAGAGAAAATGTTTTGAAAAGTATTTGTGAAAACCCGGGCGCCTAAGAGTTACCTAGTGGTCCGTGGCGTTAGTGTGGTCTAAAGGGGATTAGGGAGAGACTCTAGCGTGGTTGAGCTACCTAGGCTCGAAACAATGCCTTGGAGTTCCCATGTGGTCGTGAATAGCTAGTCAATCCTCCTCTTGTGACGCCATAGAGCTGCTATGGGTCGGGTTACACTAACGGTTTAGAATGGTGAAATGGAATTGTTTCGGAAATAGGGAGTGATATTGCACTCCATTGGCATACATTGTATATTTTGTGGTTGGATGACCTGTATTTATACTTGTTGTAGTTGTTGTTATTATGGCATCCCCCATAACATAATCCCATTTACTTTTACACTATGTTTTGTTTGGATTCACATGGTCATTAAAAGGTGTGTCTTAGGCACCTCCTACTGAGCGGTTGTCCTTACCTCGTCATATTATTACATTTTTCAGGTTTTGGAAAGGAAGTGATGGATGATGTTCCACCATAAGCACAGGCAGGATTTGGATGATCATTTTGGCATCTTTTGTGTTGAAGTCTTATTTGTATAATCCATTAAGACATGTGTAGTTTGTATATTTTGTGGCTTGTTATTGTGATCATGAACCTTGCTATTATTTTGGATGTAATGTATTTTAAAAAGGCCATTGACACTTGAATTGTCCATGTTTGTATATTTGGGAATGAATGGAATGATGATGGTTTATTTTGAGAAGTTTGTTGATTGTGGGATGTTGTGTATGTTTTGCCTTGAACTTGGAGCATGTTACGTATCAGGTTTGGCTCATAACGAGCCCAGTTCCTTGGGATTTCAGTTTGTAAATAGCTGCATTTTTGGGCTTGTCAGCCGACCGACAGTGCACTTTTGAGGAGGTCAGAGAGTTGGGTTGTGGTTTGTGTTGTTTCGGCCGGCCAACAACCCCAGTCAGCCAACCGAACCCATGTTTCCAACCGGCCGACACTAGATCTCCAGCCGGCTAACTGACCTTTTGGAGGAGTCCCGAGAGTGTGCATTTCTCCCCATCGTTTCGGTCTGCTGACCATGTTAGTCACCCGATCGACTATCCAATTTCAGCCGACCGACTCTTCTCTTTTCTTATGCAACTGCATTTCTTCTGTGAGATGGTAGTTTGAAGTGTTGTGAACCTTAGGACAAGGTACAGGTTTTGCATTGACATAAGAAAGGACGGTAATGCCCTTAGTTGCCTCAGGTTCGGTTAAGGACCCGATTAGCGATTCAGATCCTCGGGTTCAGGTTGTTACAAATGTGAATAATGAAATTAAAAATTAAAAAATGGGTCCTTGCTCTTATAGCAGTCAGGTGTGGCACTTACTAAAAATGTTGCTAGAAACATATCAATAACAGCATTTTTTTATAATTGATGTTAAAATTTTGCCACCAAATGAGTATTTTGTTGTAGTGTGAGGCAAGTAGCCCTCATTATCTTAAAAAAATATATATATAGCCCTCATTAGTTGTTACATTATTTGGCTCTAAAAGTAGCCGTAATTGTTTTGTAATTTTGTTTATAACCAGTAATTACAATATTTGTTAACCTGTAATTATTTGTAATTGCTGATTTGAAGCTCATAAATGTGAAAACATGTAAGTAAATTGTAATTATATTTTTAACCTGTAATTACAAATTTTATTTTTAAATCTGTAATTGTTGAAGCTCATAAATGTGTAAAAAATGTAGGTAAATTGTAGTTATGTTTTTAACCAGTAATTACATATTTTTTTAATCTGTAATTGCTTGTTGAGTGGTGTCGTAGAGCTACAACTCGACGTGTAACTTTAGCCCAACTCACCTTATGAAATATTCAACCCAAGCCCAACCCTAACTCTATTCTCAACCCTAACTACTCAATTCGAGGTGTAACTTTAGCCCAACTCACCTTATGAAATATTCAACCCAAGCCCAACCCTAACTCTATTCTCAACCCTAACTACTCAATTCGAGCCCAACTCATCCTTCTACTTTTAAATTTGGGTTTGCAACTCGGATTTAGATTTTGTGTTAAAACTTTGGATTAATTCGAGTTACTTATATGACTAATCTTCATACCAAAAATTTAATATGATCTTGAATTAGTTTTAGATTAAATTACTCTTAAACAAGAAAAAGTTCAAAAAAATTTTGTAAATTTTTAATAAATTACAAATAAATTTTTAGAAATTAAATCTCCTAAATGTTAACATACAATAAGATTTAATAAAGAATGTTGAAATATTATATATAATGTATTTTAATGTAAAAATATATATGAAAATAATATTATAAATCAGGTACAGGTTAATTCGGATTGCTAGTATTTTAACCCAAGTTCAATCCTAATTCAATTAGGGTTAAAATTTTTCAACTCAATCACTGCCTTAATTGTGAAATTGATTGCCGCTTAATTCTAAGAACTATCATTTTAAAAACAAAGATGATAGTTTTTAGATGTCTATGTGCGGCTGTTTTTAAAATAAGAATCATTTGCAAACAGAATCATTTGCGAGACAGTGGCATATGTGTACGTGCGTATCTGATACGCATGTTTGGAATGCATAAAATGCACCACGCTACAGTTTCTAATTTGCCTCCAAAACCTTCTCTCTGATCTCTCTCTAGAACCGCCATGAGCATCAGCATTCGGAGCTTCGAGTTAAATTACTCTTCCTACCAGATCTACGACGTGACCTTCTTCAATGACACCATCAAAACCCTAGTAACTGACACCGCATGCATCGTCGACACTTGGATCTCCGACATGAAGCGCCTCCACCGCCGCATCGTGGTCGGCCTCGATGTCGAGTGGCGTAACGTTCCCGGACAAGAAAGCGCCGTCGCCACACTTCAACTCTGCGTCGGCCGCAATTGCCTCATCTTCCAAATCCTGATCGCCCCCGAAATCCCCAAATCCCTCGTAGAATTCCTCTCCAACAACTATTACACTTTCGTCGGCGTTAAGGTCGAAGATGACGCACAGAAGCTGTTCAACAAGTATGGGTTGAAGGTGTCTAAAACAGTCGATCTACGCAGCTTGGCAGTGAGAACTTTGAATGATAATGGGCTTCGCAATGCGGGTTTGGTGAGGTTGGCAAAAGATTTTCTTGGGAAGAGTTTTGAGAAGCCGAAGAGTGTTTCCAGGAGTAATTGGGATGATGATTGGCTGAGTGAGGATCAGATACAGTATGCCTGCGTCGATGCCTTTGTTTCATTCGAGATTGGGCGGTGTTTGAAGGCAGGTAATAATAAAAAATGGACAATCTAATTTGGGATTTTGTGATTCAATATACTTTTGTCAATCTTATGGTGATATGGTATTAGGGTTCGTCTGATTGAAGCTACTTTTGTTGATCTTGGAATGATATGGTATTAGGCTATGTTTGGCAGACATGAAATTGGAGCTTTGAAATTAGAATTGGTTGAGTTGGAGAAAAACAGTTAAGAAAATTGAACCAAAATTTTCTTCATTTCCAGTTCCAAGGCTCCAATTCCATGCCGCCAAACACAGCCTAAGGGTTTTTTGTGATTAATTTACTTTTGTGAATCTTGTGGTGATATGGTATTAGGGTTCATTTGATTGAAGCTACTTTTGTTAATCTTGGGATGATATGGTATTAGGGTTTTTGTGATTGATTTACTTTTGTAAATCTGGGGATGATAGGGTGTTGGGATGTTTTGCCACTTTGCATTAGTACTGTTTTGGGGTTCATATGTAGTTTTTGTGAAGCAGTTTCTTGAAACTAATGTTTGAAACCTATTAATCTTTGAATCCATTTTGTAAAGGGCCGATTGCACTTTATATTAGATTTTTCCTTCATTAACATCATAATCTCTCTATATTCTTTTGTTTCAATCAAGAACGGACAGAGTCTGAATGCAGGTTCTTTAAATGGCACTGAAATGTGGATTTTGGGTTCGAATGTAGGTAATTGAGGGGCTCTCTAATTTGGGTTTTGGGATGTGGTTTTTGTGATTTAAACACATTTTGAATGAGTCTTGGGCTTTGTTATCGTCATAGTCTTTCTATATGCTTGTGTCGATGCTTTTGTTTTTAATCTAGATTGGGCAGTGTTTGAATGCAGGTAATTAGGGATACGGTTTTTGTTGTGTTATTAATTTTAGAAAATTTCTGATGATTTTATTATGTATTTTTGCATCACATGCTTTATATGGTTATTTGAAGTGGCCTTTAGAAATTAATATTTAAAAATTTTGCCATACAAGCCTCGGAATGTATTTTGGGATTGCATATTGTATTACTATTAGCTAGGTTTTCTCTTAAATGATTTCCTTGTGTCCTAAAATTGTCCTTTTGAGATGTATTTGCAAGTATTTGTCTGTCTTGTTGAATTCGCTGTACCTTTTAAGATGTAAGGATTGACAGAGAAATGGCTAATTGACGGTTAGACATAGGAATTGAAAGGAGGACTATATATAAGTAATCCTATGCTTCATTCAATATCAAATTTTCTTAATCTATGCCTTTCAGTAACGTTTAAATGGTTTGTTGTCTTATTTGTGATATTTTATTTTCTTGGGAGCATCTTATTTAACTTAATAAGTCGGTTGAGATTATGATGTTCGTTAATGGACACAGGTGTTATGGCGCTTCAAAACAATGGTGATGAAGGCAATAAGGAAGATAAGGTGCGGCCGCCAAATGGTGAGGATGCCATTGGAGTAATAATCATGTTGATGCTAATGGCAATAGGTTTTGTGTGGTGGTGTAAGTGATTCTGTCGTTATATCTTGTGTTATACTTACCAAAATAAAATTGTATGGTGGTATGAATCAAGTAGGTTTGATATGTTTTGTATGATAAAATGTATAGATGGTATGTGAAGGCAAACTTGGAGCAGAGTTTCATTGGAAAGAAAGTCTAAATTTACCACCTCGTGCCTGTATACTGAAAAATGAGATAAGTAAAGAATTCAGGTCTTGGAAACTTGGAGCTGAAACTTTTGTTGGATTATATCCCCTGTTTCTTGATCCACTTTTTAATCTTTATTGGGATTGTGTAGTGATGTACCATGCAAGCACTTCACAAAAAAAAAAAAAAATCAAACTATTGGAGCAGAGTTTCATTGTTTATGTCAATGTTTGAAATTCATCGGCCTTTGCACGATTAACACGATTAAATAATTGGGTAAAATAGGAAATGCAAATAAATAGGCCCTAAAACTTTCGCTTGTTTTTTGATAGAAAAATTTTGAGGGCCATTAGGTTTCTCTTTTTATCCATTCAAACTCTAAAAAAAATTTAACAGTTTTTCTTTCCTTTCTTTTCTAGCTGTTTCTACCTAACCAAATAAAGCCTTATGGAATTCTGCAATTGTAAGTCCTAACTCCCAAGACCATTGACGTCTCCTTGAGGTCTTAGTCACTGGGATGTTGAGCCTGAGAGATTGTTAAAAGCCTTGGTTGTAGATTGTTGCTGTTCTCGAGTTTCTTTCTTCCGTTGAACGAAAAAAATATGTATACATAAATAAAATTGTTCTCATGTCACAACGGATTTTAAAATGTCGTCACCCTGTTGATTAAGATCTAAAAAATACATAAATAAAATTGTTCTCATGTCACAATGAATTTAAAAATGCCATCACCCTGTTGATTAATATCTAAAAATCATCATTTTCAAAGCCCTCCCTGCACCGATCAAAATCACATCTAATCATTTTCCAAACTAGATCATTTTCCAAACTTGCAATGGCAAACCAATCATACAGCTGTGATCAACTCGATGACCTAAATAGAACAGCAAAACAGAAGAATGTTAGACCGAGAACTTATCAATGACCGAGTTCTTGAAAAATGTTTTCAGAAAATCGAACCAAGACCCGTAACTTCTTCCCTTAGCATGGCTTCTCAGATTCTCAGATTATTGAACGGTTAGTAGAATCTCTTGACAGATTTATTAACATTAATAAATATATATATATAAGCATAATCTAGATTCGTATCACTACTTATGGTTCATTATAAAGCAAAAAAAGAACAAAAAGTAGTAGTAGTTACTCTGAACAAAAATATAAATATAATATGGTTCATTACTTGATCGGTGTGTATACAGAAGTATCATTGCAAATTCAATAATCTCTACCACTAACAAGGACAACAAATTTATGTATAAATTTACACAAGCACACATCAACTAATTACTTCTCTTGCCTCCAATTTAATAACACAAAAGCTTGACATTTCCTCCGAAACGACTACTGAAACTTTACGACTATGCAGGAGATATCATCCTTGCTTTTCCTAGAAAGAGCCTCCTCTGTCAAATGCTTTGCTGCTAACTTAGCATCCTTCATGTTTTTGATAGAATCCACTGCTTCTTGGTTTGACATCACCTATAACATTTCAATAAATGCCAAAGGTTAGAATATTTACCACATTTAAAATTAAAAGCTGGCAAAATAGATCGAAATCAAGCTTCATTACGAAGAAACTAAGATTTTCCCCTTAAACTTCATATAAGAATATTAACAACAAAGTGAAATTGGAACCAAAGGGCATTAGCCCAGATTGTTTGATTTCTCCTCAAAGGGGAGCTTGAGTGTTCGAGACACTACTAGGGGCAAAGTGTGTGCATTTGCTTCAACTTAAAAAATAATAATAATAATAAAATAAAACCCCCAACCTTCCATAACCCATCACTTGCCAAAATGACAAACTCCGTGTCATCATCTATTTTTTCCAACACCACATCTGGTTCTGAACTAAGATGTCTCTTCAAGCTCTTGTCACCAAATGCCCTCGCTACTGCCAACTGTCCATCAACTCGAGGCACGTCACCTATGGATATCACAAAAATGTCAGCTTAGAGGTAAGAACTTACCTGACATAAAAATTAGGACAAATTCATTGGTTTCTAACTTTCCATGTCTACTTAAAACCTAAAAGGCTATTGGGTAGACCAAAAACTCAGCCAACCAGTTACATCTTGTGTACAAATAGCATAAATGCATCTTTTTTGTGTATCTGGAAGTGGAGGTTAAGGTATGCAAACAAATGTATCAGAAGTAAGAACTTCATTTAAAGCCATGAACTTCACTTCATTTACAGTGTTAAGAGAACCTAATTTCAGAAAATTTTCACACTAAAATACATATAGCATGATGTGAATTATATAAAACAAAAGAGTAAGAATCCATTCTCATGATGTCAAAAATGTTGTCTTTGGAGATAATAATATATGTTAGTTACCTGGAAGGTTTGATACAAAGCCACCCTTACTCTCAATCACCTTTTTTTCCTTGCTTGGCTCGTGATCAACCGATAACTGTTTGGCTATGCCCTTCTTGCATATAACAGCCCTAGAATCTCCCACATTTGCAACTACAAGCTTTTGGCCATTGATCAGTATTGCCGTTACTGCAGTTGAGCCTCCTTTCCCCAATTGAATTGACTGCTTTAAGATATCGGTATCAGTTCTATGATAAGCATTCCTTATTGCACTCTCTGTATCATCCCAAAATTCATGCTGCTTGCAGAAAAAAAAAAAAAAAATGACGCAAAATCGCAGAAAATATAAATGAATTTCCAAAACAGTAAAAGAGAGTAAGAATAAGAATATAAATATCATTACTTGGCATGAGAGAGAAAATATAAGTTACCTCTTTTAAAATATTGTCAAACAGGTGTGATTGCAAATAACTCGCAACATCATGGCCCATATGGCCATCGAAAATTGCAAATAATCCCAACTCATTGTCATCTACATGTTTGAATTCAGAAACTAAGTAATCTTCCATGGCATGATTAGATTTTCCTTCCACTAGGTGAAATCCGTGAGTGATATGTTTCGAAATTCCGCCTTTTCCTTTCCCTTTATCTGGTGCAACTGGTGTGGCAATAAAACATGCCGCCTTTTCCTGAAAAGAGGGCATACGAAACCATAAAACAAGAGTTGTGCGATTTCTCAATATACATTTTTCACAAAACTCGATTGAAAATTTATGCAATGTGATGCTATGCAATTGAGATTTTTATTCCCCTATATCAGGCAAAGAAAGACAACAAACAAGAATCACTATTGCAAATGCTAAATTATAATTTGTAGCAAGACAGTAGTCCCATTAATGAATCACTAACATATTCCACATATGAAAACAGAACATAATTGGAACGTTTGGAAAACCACGGTGCTAGCCAAGTCAGACATGTAAAAAAGGTGATATGACACTCCTATATACTAATGGCATTGCTAGTTAATGAAAATAATGTGAGCCATCACTAATAAGCATTCACATACTGGCAGACAGATCTCGTACAACAACAACCGTGACTTTAGGTTTTCTTTACAGAATTCTTGCACTTCTGTTTCTTACTTCATCCTGTTTTCAAACTAAAAATGTTTTAAATGGTTTCACATTTCCATGTCTAACCATGATCTCCAGAAGACTCTGTCTGGGACACCTGGACAGTAGCACGCACTCCATAGACTACAACAGACAGGTCTCTCCCTGCCACAATTACCAAAACATGGTGTGCTGAAATTGGTTTTCTGGGGAATCACTGTGGTCATATGTGAACTTGATGATATAAACTGAAGACTGCATGCAGCTGCTGAACGCTTCATTTTCTCCACCACACTCTATATAATGGTGGATACCATCCGACAAGGCAGAGATGTCAACACTGATATCCGGTGATCCGGTGACAATGACATTTATAGCTAGCATGCCAAACAACTATCTCAATACTTTAATGCTTTTTAAAGGTCAATAGCAGCATATTCACAATTATAGTCATGATCCATAGCCTAAGGCAGTCCTGCTGGTGTGCTAAAAACTAATGCTAACCTTATGGACATAAAGATCTAATTATCTGTCAAACTGTCAAAAGATCATTGCTCTCTCGGGTTTCATGGCTTCGGTAACCCTGTTTAAAGGGTTGCCAATTGCATAATGATGTTGAGACAGAAGCACACTGCAACAAGGAAAAACTTATCTGCATTCTGCTGTATGTCTCAAATCAAAGATCAACATCTTCATCTTTAGAGTAATTCTAGAATCATTTCTGTGTCAATCCCCTCCCTTCCCCATCCCCCATACTTTCTGAAGTTCATATGGAGTTTGCATGTATCCAAAGGCGTGCACAGGTACCCTTTCACCATAAAATCAGCCTTTGGAACAAATGGTCATGAGTAGCCCTCTCCGCCTGTATGCTCTCAGAAACCAGAAAAAAAAAAAAAAAAAAAAAAAAAAAAAAAAAAACTAATCACTTCTTCCTTCTCTGCCGTGGACTATAACCATTTAATTTCAGTGAAAATCAATTATTCATTTCCAGTCCTGGGTCCCAAAGGGTTGTTAAGGTTTCAAACCTGTGTACCCTTATTCTGAGAATATATGGCCATGACCATAGAATATTTATGTCAGTTCATATGGAAAAAAAATAAAAAATAAAAACAAAAAATTATAATAATCATGGCAAGGCCTGTGTCCCTTTCCTTACTTGTAGACAAAAATTTACAGTTCTGTTGCTCAATAAAGATGAGGCTCAAGGTGCTTTTGGTGTTATTTTCAGAAACCACAAGGATTCATTTTGGCAAGTACAGCTAGCAAATGCAAGTGTATTGGCAACTGCTGCTGAGGCTTTGACGATCCGAGAAGCCAGTTTGCAAGCTAAGGATTTACATCTATACCATCCTAGAATCAGTTGCTAGCTCCACATTAGCAGCTATTAAGAGCTCTGCCTCATTCCCTACACGCAAAATCTATTGAATATCTGTTGAGTTTCTGTATTTTTGTTTCCTTGTAGGTCCCCTTCTTGATTTGTTTTTGTATCCCCACCAGAAAAAGGTTTTAACTCCAAGTAAATACCATTAAGTGTGGAATCAAATCGTATACACTTTCATTCATAATTTTTTTTTATTTCATAGTAGTTTAGGCATCACGTCAAGCAAGCTCAGACAGACGCATCAAAAGATTAATTATTGTTTGAAGGACATTTTGTTCAAATATGTGATACAAAAAACAATAATATTTATAAAGTAATGTATTTCCCTATCAAATATGTGCAAATACAATACACAAACGACCTGATCATACAAAATGATCATAAATCCTAAGGTCCTCGGAATATAAAGAGGTTTCAATATTTCTGCAAGAAAATGGCTCCGTGATCCTTTAATTTTGGATAGGAATATGATCAATATTACCCTTAGCTCCGTTATCCTTCAATTTTAGATGCCATATATAACATTTGCCTGATATTGTCTAAAATTAAATATCTTCTTTTATTTTAGATTTTATATGTTGCAAAGTTCCAAAGTTCGTAGAAGACAAGAGAAAGCAAAAAAAAACACAAAAAATGCCCAGCATAAAACCATTGTCATGGAACTCTCTTGCACAGTCTATAATAAAAAATTTTAGCCAACCAAGAGCAGCAATAATGAGTGTGATCTCGAAGGACCTATCACTGATTTTTGTTATTAGAGTAGCAAATCTGAGGAAATCTTGAGGACCTTGAGGATATTGGTCAAATTTACTTGAAGCTCTAGAGAAACTATTCTCTATTAAGATTTCTTCAATGTTGCTACTCAAGTAGCAAGAGGAATCAGTGATTTCCCAGCACAACCATTTATTAATGCAGCTTACAGGCCCTTCGAGATCCTACTCATTATTGCTTCTCTTGGTCAGCTAACATGTTTGATTACAAACTACAAGAGAGTTCGATGACAAGGCTTTTATGCTAGGCACTTATGCTGCGTTTGGTGTGTAGGAATGGAATGGAATAAAATGCAAGTCGGAATGGAATGAAATGCAAGTCGGGATGGAATGGTGATTCTCATTCTATTATTTGGATGTAAATATGAAATGTATAGGAATGGAATGATAAAAACCATTCTAGAGTTTGGTTGGACCAATTTAAAATTTAGAATGGAATAAATTTCAAATTGAGTTCTCCAAAATATCCCTCTTAGTAATAAATAAATTAAATTAACAAAATGACATTCTTTTATAATTTTTTTAAAAATAAATGGTGGCAGTAGCGATAGTGGCAATGGTGGAAGGTGGCGGTAGCGGTGGAAGGCAGTAGTGGTGGTGGTGGAAGGCGGTGGCTGTAGTGTGATGATAGTAGTGAAAGGAGATAGTGGTGTAGGTGACGGTGGTAGAAGCCAATGGAGGTGACTGTGGTGGTGGTGGAAGACAGTGGTGGTGGTGTTGGAAGGCAATGGAGGGGGCGGTGGTGGAAGGGGTGGCAGTGGCAGTGGCAGTGGCAGTGGCAGTGGTGGTGGAAGGCATGACAGTGGTGGTGGTGGAAAGCGGTGGCGGTGGAAGGCGTTGGTTGTGGTGAAAGGCAGTGGTGGTGATGGAAGGCTGTAGTGGTGGAATGCGGTAGCGGTGGTAAAGGCGATGGTGGTGGAAGGTGGTAGCTGTGGTGAAAGGTGATGGCGGTGGCGGTGGCGACAGTGGCGGTGGAAAGAGGTGGGTGGTGGTGAAAGTTGATGGCGACGGTGGTGGTAGAAGGTGGTGGTAGTGGTGGTAGTGGTGGAAGTCGGTGGTAGTGGTGGAAGTCGGTGGTAGTGGTGGTGGTGAAAGGTGGTGGTGGTTGTAGTGAAAGGTAGTGGTGATTTCTGGACTTGGAACATCAGGGTTTATTGGGAAGTTGAATTTTTTAAAAAAAAATTACTTGAGAATGGAATGGTCATTCCATAGGTTTAGTTGTGGAATGGATTTTCATTCCCAAGAATGAATTTTCATTCCAATGGAATGACTATTACTAGCTTAAATTGAATACTAACAAAGGAATGGTTGAAATGGGCATTCCATTTCATTCCATTCCTGCACACCAAACGCACCATTAAATCCGAAGAACATATGCTAGCAACGACAGACCGACTGAGGGAGGCAAGGGAGAGAGTGAATGAGAGAGTGGGGAAGAGAGCGATGGAGTAGATGAGGAGGAGAGAACTTTTGAAGAGTTGGAACGGGTGAGTGAGAGACTTGGGATAAGAGATTGCAATATGTTTGGTTATAAAGATAAAAATATATTTTAATACAATTTTGACTTATAATTTTTATGGTTTTCAAGAGTACTACATATATTTTTGTGGGAGTGTTGTGTATGTTCTGAACTGGATTAGTCTCACTCGTAAAGTGTGGATAGCTCATCTATCAAGAGAAAAAAAAATATATATATATATATATATATATATTATTTGGTTGGCTTAATTTAAATAGGTTATGTTTATTAATATAGATAAAATATTAATTAAAAATTAAAATTCATATATAATAAAATAATTTTTTTATTATTTCATTGCCATATCATTCCTGTGTACGTGTCCTATATTCTTAGAATTTGTCGGCATATAGTGTTCTACTTGTGTCCCTTGTGCCTTTCTTATTTGGTCGCATCGTATCCTAAGTCACGCATAAAGTGGGAGGGAATTGGTGAGCCGGAGCACGAAAGCAACAAAATTAAGCCTCAACTAGTGCGAGAATGCGCACAGAGCAGCACCCGTTGAGAAGGGCGCGCCCATTGAGAAGGATTGTGTGATGTCATATTGCTGCAATTGCTTCTCTCTTTTCTTTTTCTTTTTTAATTCCATTCTTTGAGGGGATAAATAATAAAAACTAAATAAAATACTGATACCAGTCTTTGCCAATTTCATATTACTCTTATTGAATAACTTACCCAATTCGCGTGAAGTGTTTTAGTCACATTAATCCAAACCCGAATTTGCAAAAATATCAAATTGATTTCCTTATATTAATCACATCAATTTAATTCCCTTTTGCGGAAAAATAAAACAAAATTCACTCTCTTTTAGCCCATTAATGCTTAGAGGCTATAAAACTCCAAAATTGCATAATATTAGATTTTTTTTTAATTTCAATAATTAATAATATCCCTCCCAAAAACTCTGAACCACATAATGATCAGATCATGAGAAACTTGAATTCCCAAAATCCAAAATTAAAAAATCAAATCAATGGGCATCACTAATATTACAAAACACTAGTTAGTTGGTTGTTCAACCATATTTTTAAAATTTTAAACATCATCTCAAAACAAGAAATATACCTTGAAATTAACTAAAATCCTCAAAAAGGACTTAAAAATAACATCCTTTAAACGAATTTGCAGAATGAGAAATCAAAGAGTTGAATTGGTAATAGAAAAAAAAAACAAAAAAAAAAAAACTTCTACTAACCTTCATCTTGTGAAGAATCTCTCTTCCGGTCATGATTGTATTTTTGTGACGCCTATCTTCAGAGATATATATATATATATATATATATATATTTCAACAGTCAGCGAGAGTTATAGAGAGAGAGGAGAGATATAAAATGAATGACGTAGGGAGAGGGAGAGTAGGGGTGATAGATATAGACATATACATATACAATATATACATATAGAAGGTTTTGACTTGGGACATGTGATCTGCCGGTGACTAAAGTCAAGTCACCTTTAAGCCGCGTTTTCTTTTTCTTTTTCTTTTTCTTTTTTTTTAATTAATTATTATTTTTTCTCTTTTTTCCAAAAGAAAACGCGTCTTGGATTGCGAACTTTCCCTCCTCATGGGCTCTGTTGACTAACTTTAGCTTATTACTAATAAAAATATAGATTTTAGCACTTCCTCGTGATCCAAATTATTTATTTTTATTATATACATGTGTTTCATAATATTTAATTTTTAGAATCTTTTTTAACTAATATAACTAATATAGATTTTGATTGATTTTTTTATCGTTTATATTCTGAATAAAATTTTTTTTTTTTTTTTGCTAATGTGTGCAAATAATTTGTTATGTTAAAATATACAAAACCAATAAATTAGATTTTACAAAAAGTGAAATGGTTGATTGAAATGTTTAGGTATTTTTTGTTTGAGTTTTGTTTTAACTTGAAATTAAATAAGTGTTTTTCATGTTTGATATCATACATTTGTTATAAGATTTTTTTGAAGCAAAAACTTGAAAATATTTTTATTAAAAAAATATTGCAAGTTTGAAAAATATAATAATTAGTTTTAAAATATCATTTAAGAGTTTTTTTTTAAAAAAAATTATTTTTTACTGTTCATCAAGGAGCCAATGAAGGATCAGGGCACGTGCCCCTGCCTGCCCAGCCCACCCTCTATAATATATGTAGTAAATTTTTTATTTTTTCCATATATATATAAAAATGTATACAGTGTCCCCCTAAATTTTGTATTTCTAAAATTATAGATTAATTTTCTTTTTACTCTTCAATTTCCTTAAAAGATTAAACTCTTAACTCTTTCCTTTTAAAATTATAGATTAATTTTCTCATTTACTCTTCAATTTCCTTAAAAGATTAAAATCTTAACTTTTTCCTTTTAAAATTCTCTCATTTTTCTTTCCTTTTTCTTTTTCTATTTCTATTTCTTAAAATTCTTCTTTTTAACGTAAACAATTTTCTTCTTTTTCTTTAGTATTTTATATTTGTTATGTTATATAATATATAAGTAGTACTCACATGTGAATTGCCTAACCGAATAATTCTTAATTGGTTATTTATATAAAATACAACTAAGTGAAGGGCTTCATTTTCTTATTTGTTGCATAATTAATCAGTTAAAAGAGTAGGTCTAGCAATTCACTGTAACTATTTGGTGCACCAAAGAGGAAATGAGAGGATCTTTGCTTTGTTGACTAAAAAAAATGATGCACAATGAAAATACTCAAAAACAAACTTGCTTTGATAATTATGTAAAAATAAGAAAAGAAACCTAATTACTAAAAACTGTTAAATACCAAAAAGGAAAGTAATTTGAATCTTCTAACAAAAATTCCGAAATATTCAAAATTGGGAAAACGCAATTCCCGAGCTTGAATTCAACCAAAAGAAGTCACAGGCTCACAACATAGCTGTTGATATTTGTGAGTTGAGTCATTTCTAATCAAATTAGGCTTTTTCTCGATCAAAAACTGATTCGTCGAAATCATCTGAAAAAATTGGTTAGCCCGCTCGTTTGACCGTTTGACGGTCCAAATAAATTTCAAAATCTTCAACCGTCTATTCTGCATCACAACGTCCCCATTGGTTTTATACATGATTCATAACTAGAAAGTTTCTCAACTTTTTGTTGATCAAAACTAAAACTCCAAAAATTAAAAATACCAAGATAGGATTTTGTATTGTCAAACAAAACATATCAGTTGGGGACAAAAATTGGGCGGGTCATTTTGCGTAAACAATCCATCTCTGCAAAATCACTAAGCTAAATACATTGTAATTCAGTTCGAAATTTGAAACCATACATTAATTTAAGTCAATATCTCATCAGTACATGCTTATTTGTCCGATTAAGAATTTGAACCTAGTCTTCTATTTAGAAGGATAACGAGACACCATTTTAATATTTCTTTCAAGATTTTTAACCCCTTCAAATATCATGTTACTTTTAACCTTTTTTTAAAAAAAAAAAAAAAAAAAAAAAAAGGTCTCATTTCAATTGCAATTTAAAAACACTTTAATGAGACTGACGTACTTTGACAATGTTTCCTTAACTGCATAATTGAGTATCAAAATTTACAAAATTTTCATGAACAATGCTTGAATCCTGCCCTATTAGGACAAGTTTTGTCTTGCAACCTGATGTGACCCTACCAAAATTTGACGCCTGTCCAAAAAATAAAAAATGAATCATACTGGATCAAATTGGTTATCGGGGTAGAATCCATCCGAGAACCCCATTTTCTTTCTCCTTCATTCCTTCCTCCTTTATTCGCTACCTTTTTTTACTTCTACGGCTAAAAAGAGAAACATTGAAACCCAACACATCATCAATACATTTTTTTTTCCCTGGCAAACAAAACTGCAGATTACATAGATTCATTTTTACAAACAGTCTGAACAAAGAGCAAAAAAACAACATGGCAAAACCTAATGACCACTTCCCATTGGCAGATGAAGACCCGAAGCTGAGCCACTTAAATTTAATGCACAATACCATCCAGTGGACTGAGTGTGATACCCCCAAATTTTCGAATGCGGGTTGGCCAGACCCACGCTCGAATACCCGGGGATATCAAAGACAGATCAGCAATAAACGAACACAGAATACAAAAGAATAAAGAAGAATAAATAAAATGCTGAAAAGAAACTAAAATGATAATCCAATAATAACCTTCAAAATAAATTCTTATTAATAATAGAACATTCTGATACAACTGATCCTCCAAATACAACTCGGGAATCCATACTGTGTGGACCCCTAGAAAATCCAAACTAAACAAATGACAGCAATAACTGTCTAAATCAGAAAACTGAAACATAAAGGAAATCCTATGTAGATAAACCGAAAGAGTGAAGGAGATGGTCCCTGCTAAGCACGAACAATCCCTACTCCTGACGCATACCTGAAAAATAAGGGTGGGTCAGGTCCACAAACAAGTTCTACTCCATTATAGTCCAAGTAGAGATTCAATATACGTATACATCCTAGTCAATTCAACAATAACTAATAATCCATATATATATAAATATATACTAAAGGACTTTCACTGGATTACAGGCCAGTCTCAACCTGACTAATAGGCAACATGCAAAACGCACCTGAAGTGGGCATGTGTGCCTAGACCTAACAGGGTACACCTCTAACTATCATAGCCAGCTATGCATCCCACTGCATATACGCTCCCTAACCGTCGACTCTAAGACTCAAGCTCATATCGTGGTACCATAACCATATATGTAAAATCCATCCAAAACCAAAGTAGTACCGCTCAACTATTCGTTGCCTTGACACGACATATATAAATAGGATTTAACTTTGTAGTTGATCCATTCCCTTATTCCAGAGTAGGTAAGACTTAGCGTTTTGAGCTAATCCATCCCTAGTATGCCACCGTCCCATACCGGTGCATACAATCCACAAAATCCATATAATTTATAAAGTAGATAATATAAGTAGGATTTATCATCTTAGTAAATCCATTCCCTTATACAAAATAGGTAGGACTTAACTAATAAGTTAATCCGTCCTTAGAATGCCACCGTCCCACACCGGTGCATTAAAGTACACAATTCAATAATCAATGTAACAAATATAATAATACATCAATTAATCCAGCAATTAACATAATATTATAATATTATGCTATCACAAAATAGGAATAGCTTATACTTTATTTAAGCTTCCTACATCCTGAATCCTACACAAACTGAATCTTAAATGGACTGACATTTTATTATACAATCACGTAAGCATTCTCCATATCCCATTCATCCTACACAATTAATCTCAATTGCTAGAACAATTCAAAAGATTAAATCCATTTGTTTGTTTAAATCATCCAAATAGCAAACATCATTATGATCGAGTCTATTTAAATTTGTTTAAACCCAAACCTAAGTCCCTATTTAATGTTTAGGACCCTTCAACATCAACAAGAAGTAACACTACATTGTTTACGAAACTTCTCCAGGTAGTGCTCGAGCTTTTGTCCCAAATGCTTAAGCACCCTGTCCAAGGCTCAAGCATCCTACTTCAAGCTCGAGCTTTCTTTCTCAGGCTCGAGTTTTTACATCCAATTGCTCGAGCTTTCCTTCTAAGGCTCGAGCTTTATAACCAATTGCTCGAGCTTTTCATCCTAAGGCTCGAGCTTTTCCCCCCAAGGCTCGAGCACTGTAACAGCATTCTGAACACTGTTAAACGAATCAACCCAGAATTCACTGTGCATTCAATCTTTATTTGTTTCAGGAATCCTAGGCATGTTTCTACGTTCCATTAATACACAAACATGATAATTATATAAATTAAACATGTAAAAATTCGTAACAGAAATCCAATCATATCCATGAATTTAACCATTCTTACTACAAGAACAACCATGAACCAATTTCATAAAGTCTATGTTCTACTCCAATTAAACAGGCATAATTATTATATTTTATGTGTTTAATAAATCCTGAAATTTCCTAGGCATGTATAGAAACACAAATCTAAGGGAAAGAGATAGAAGAAGAACTTGCCTTAAACTTTCGGATCGAAAGTTAAACTTCTTCTTCCTTGGTTTTCTCTCTACAGGTTTTCTCCTCCTTCATTCCTCTTCCTCCTTCTCTCTCTAACTCTCTCTTTCTAGAAAATATTACGTGATATGTTTCTAGAGACCTATAGCTATGTATTTATAGGCTAAATATAACTAACCCTAATCCAAATTCCCAATCCAAGTCAACTTAAAAAAATTAAAATTAAAATATTAAAAAGGTAAGTATAATATGTTACGTATATAATTTATATATATCTTTATTAAATAAATAAATTATACACATCCTACTATTTATTAATGGATTATCCAATAATGTTTAAGTAACCATAATATTATAAAGTAACTTAAAACATAACACGTATCAAATCTATGTGTATT